ACAACAACCTAGTGAAGCACTCCTAGCATATTATATGATGTAATTGATTTATGTAAACATGTTGATAATGACATGCCGTTACATATGATTGTCGATTACTTACAAGATGGTGTCGACAACGAAGTAAAAGTACATATAAAATATCAACCGGAAGCACTTAAAGAGGAAATCACATCGGCTATGTTTCTGAAAATAGCTCGTGATGAGAAGCAATTACAAAACGAAATCTCTTCTGAACAACAACAGCCATCGTTCACTCCTCCGCAACCATATTTTACCTGATTTACCGCTGCCACTGGTAAATCTTTCCATGTATCTGAAGCCTAAGTTCATCTGTCGAACCCTTCCAATATTCATATCAGTCATAACACATTTCTTTCAAGTCAATCATGCTCCTATCGTTCGCGTTTCTTAGTACAAACAAATCAATATTATCCATGCTTCATTTACCACCATTGAATCTCCATATCATCGATTGTTGCAATAAACAATCAAGTGCCTGTTACAAACGAAATAATAACAGTCATAATGCACGTGATTGTTCCCAGATTTTTCAGTAATTGGTATTCAAGATGACAGATTCCTGTTATTCCATGTCAGCATCCCCCACTTCCACAAATCCTTTTTTCATTCATACACAAGTCAATCGTACTCATCATAATATTCTTATTGATACTGGCCCCGGTAGAACCATCATTCATTGTAGTTTTTTTACAACACATATACATCACAATACGTTTGAACCTATACGAAAATTCAATATTTTCGCTACTTGTACTGCTATCAATATAATTGGGCAAGTTCAACTTGAAATTAAAACCCATGATCTTTTCACATATGTAACAGCCGCCATAGATACGCATTTTGTCACCGATGTATTAGTGGGAATTGATTGTATCAGTCATTATGTTCTTTGTCTTGATATTTCTAAACAACGATTAATCTTACAAGATCACACAGATCATACTGCTACCACTCCGCTCATTCAACCTATTACTACATAATGTTCTGCTGTTCTACTCTCCGATCAACTTACAATCCTGCAATACTCTGAATATGCCGTGAAAGTTACCATTCAACTACTTGGTAACTCAAATGTGATGTTGGAATCATGAAAAAGCTTTTATCAAAAACCAGTTTTACTTCCAAATGCTTTAGTTCAGGTAAAAAATTGCTCAACAAAATTAACGATTATCAACATCACAGATCATCCATACACTTTATCTTCAAACATATGTCTCGGTACTGTTTCTTCGTCACCATTCATTTGTACAGCAACAATCATCACAAAGTCGTATCTCCGTATACCATCAATCGTTCACTACACCTAATCGTGATTCTAACCCATTACATCAATGCTATGTTTGCCATCGTCGATTTCAATCAAAAAATTACCTTTATCATAATTTTCGTTCACAATGTTATCCATGTGAACTCTAACACCAAATTGAAACTTTAACTAAACACATCGATCCTATCCACAAGGAAAGAAGATCCAAGATGTACTTTGGAAAGATGGCAAATTATTTGACATTCTTGAACCATCAAAATTCAGCATCATTCTGAATCATATGATTGAAACCGGCAATCATCGACCTTTTACACTGCACCTTTTAGACGATCACCAAAATATCATCGAGCCATTGTCGAGAAGACTGATAAGTTATTGAAACAACAAAGAATGGAACCATTAATTTCACCTTGATGCTCATCTGTTGTCCTCTTAGTACGAAAAAAATACGGCAGCACTCGGTTCTGCATGGACTATCAAAAACTGAAAGATATTACTTCAAAGAATTTATTTTCGTTGTCTCGTATTAAAGACATTTTCAATCAACTGTCACAATCAACCTATTTCACAGCGCTTGACTTTAAAAATAGTTATTTTCAAGTTCCACTCGCACTTCAAAATCGTCCTAAAACAACATTTTCAACACCCGATAATCATTATTAATTTACACTTCTTCCTCAAGGTACAGAAAATGGTCTACCTACGTTCCAACGAGTTATCAATAGAATTCTTGGGCCGACTTGATGGAAGCATTGTCTAACTTAGCTAGACGATGTTGTTATATTTTCGACAATCTTTGATGATCATGTTTCTCATTTGAAAGAAACCTTAAAACTACTCGATGCATACACTTTTAGATTAAGTTCATCTACTGTGGCGAGTTTCGTCCGAATAACGAACATATGCGTGGTTTATTAGAAACTCTCATGCCTACCACGGCAAAAGAGATCTTTTGCTTCTAACAAGTCGCTGAATATCACTGAAAATTTATTCCGAACTTCTCTCGTATTGCTGGTCCTCTGTACAGATGCAATTCTCCGAGGAATAAACATGCTACTGTTGTGAAATCCACAATGATCAAATTATCGCTGATAAACAAGCTATTTTTGAACAATTAAAATGTATTCTTAACGTGGATCTTGTTCTTGAACTTCCCAACAACCAACTTCCTTTCAAAATACAGACGGATGCTTTGCAACTTGGCATCGATGTTGTCTTACTACAAACATATTCTCAAAGTGATCGCCCTGTGTGTTACATGTACAAGAAATTTACACCTGCTCAATAACGTTGGTCACCAATAGAACAAAAATCAAGGGGGAATCGGCGGATTGCCAGGATTGCCAATCCCATAGAAATCCTGACAATCCCGGCAATCCCATGGCAATCCCATGGAAATCCCGGCAATCCCGGCAATCCGAAATCTGCCGTTTCCCCCTTGACAAAAATGTTATGCGATCGTAAAAGCTGTCGGACAATGGCATCATTACTTACACGATAATCATTTCATATTAGAATCTAATCATAAGCCATTAGAAGTACTTACACGCAAATCTCAAGTGAATAATAAATGTGAATGTTGACGCTTCAAATTGAAATCGTATGACTTCACAATTACACACGTAAAAGGTACCTCGAATACTATGCCAGACTATTTATTTGGATCATTAATTGCTCAAACTGAAGACGGTCTCTATGATGAAGTTAGTGAAGATTCAAATACTATCACTACTCAAACTGATACATCCAATTACAATGTTCACCCATTATCATCAATTGTTAGCATGGTAAGCAACTACTCGTTCTCGTGCAAGAGTATTATTGCATACTGACGACCACATCACTTCTACATCAATCAATAATCATTGAAACCCGATACATACGCCATCAACTTCGTCGACTCCTGTAGTTCTTGCCGGCGAATCAAGAATTGAATATACTACTGAAGTCAACAAATTGAAATAAGCACAGCGTCGAAGCGTTGATATACAACACACAATAGAGACCCTTACCGATCATAAGTACATCAATTCGTATTTTCTACAAGATAGTCTCTTGATGCATCGTAAAGCTTATATGAAATAGGTTCCATGTGTATCGAAAGAAAAAAAATTGCCACGACATTATGAAAATCAATCATGATACTCAAGCAAACAGTGCACACTTCGACCGTGATAAAACCATCAAGAAAATCAAAGCTCAATATTATTGGAATACCATGAAAAGTGATATTAGTAATTATATTAAATCATGCATCAGTTGCTATCAAAACAATACTAGTCGTCGCAAGCATGTTGGTCTTTTACAACCATCGAGCCGCCTGAAGGAGTTTGGCAACTACTGTCAATTGACTTTTATGGACCTATTACCCCTACTAATAGGCGTGGTAATAAGTACATCATCTCTATAACTGATCTGCTTTCAAAATTCGTTAGTCCGATTGAGACAATCAACTTCCATTTGTCACTTTCGATTATAATATCACTTTCATTCGACCACAAAAATAATTCCATTTGAGCTTATTTATGGGGCTTCACCTGTATTACCATTTGATTCATAAAACCCAATCGCTTTTTTTTCTACACAATCCACAACATACTCAGAAATTACATCAATATATATCACATCTCACGAATGCTGCAAAACACAATGTCACTACTCCACAACACTAATACAAGTCTCGATTTGATAAACATCGTCCCAACTCTATGTACGCTATCAGTGCTCTAGTCTTTGCTAAAAACCTGCATTCACGTCATCAATTCGATACTCAATATGAAGGTCCATTTCATATCATACGCCGTATGACTTATAAAACATATGTTGTTCAATATGTCAAATTACTTGATTTAGTTCATCAAGATACTGTCGACTTTATCATCCCGTTGTTTGAGAGACAACCAACAACTTGAGTCTATTGATTACAAACTGATTCTCGACTGTTCACTACATATTTTACACTGCGCATGAAATATCTTTGAATGTGTTGTGTTTGCTTGTTATCCGCTATCACACTATCGATTTTTGTTTTCATTTTATTCGATTATTCTCTTTCTCTTACTACTCTCTTCATATCAATACTTCTATCATTTTTTCATTTTCTTTCTTTTCTTCTTACTTTTTTATCTTTGGATGTGTGTGTGGATCCACATTTCCGTCGGTGGGGAGGTATGTTGCAGCCATATACTTTATATGCCTTCACACATTTCGTTTTTATCGACACCTGTTTTATTCTGTTTGCGTTCTTTGATTCTTGTTTTCATTGCGGTACTTTTTCTCTTTCTTGAATCAAGTCATTTGGATTAAAATCAAAAATAGAGAAAGAATAAAAAGGACCTTCTAAAAATATCTCCATAAAAATGTTCAGTCTGATCGAATAATGTTTGGTGAAGGGCTTGGGTATGGGCTTAGCTCTTCTCTTACTCAACACTCACACTCCGTACCACATTTATATTTAATATAAGATATTAGTAGTTAGTATTAAGAAGAAAATGAAATGGCAATTTAGAAAAGAGAAGCATCACTCTTTTCGTTCTTATCTCTGTATATATTGTTAGTATAAGAGATATGAGTGATGTGGCAAAAAAAAATTAATCAGCACTTCTATTAGCACACATTTCTAGGAGAATCGCCATACACATCGAGAGAAGGCAGATTTATACCAATTCAAAAATCGTTTGCTACAGATCATACATCTCTTCTACCGATTATGGTTGATCAACAACAACCTACAGCTAATAATAAAGCACAATATGATACCATTGCCTCCCAATACGTAAAATATAAAGAAACAAATGTTCGTGAAGCTGTTGAACATTATACAATATATAATTGCTTGTTGAAACCGTATTTAAACGAACATGGTTTATTAACAGGAAAACGAGCACTTGATTTGGGTTGTGGTTATGGTTACTACACGCGTCAATGGAATTCACTCAATTGTAGTTATGTTCTCGGTGTTGATATAAGTTCAACAATGATCGAACTTGCTCGTAATATTGAACGCCAGGAGGCAAAAGGCATTGAATACATGATTGCCGATATTAAAGAATTATCACCACCTGAACAACCATTTGATTTAGTCACTGGGTTTTATGTACTTCATTATTCTAAAACGCAAGCTGAACTGCTTGAAATGGCTCGTGCTATTTATATACAACTCGGCGAAAATAAACCGTTTATTGGTACAATAGGTAATGTTGTAGCAGGTAAAGCCTCATTCAATCATCGAAAATATGGGATAACGAGATGTACAGGGTGGTAAATAATATTATTCCAGGGGGGTAACAGTATGATCTCGAATCGGAGATATCATGAATTTTATACCAAATGAAAGCCCGTGAAAAATGGGGTTTAGTGATAGTAAATAGTAAGACTTTGAAGAACTTTCGTGTACCAAATTTTTAAAAACAACGAAATTTTCTTTCAAAAANCCCCCCCCCCCCCCTCAGAAAAAGTCAATATTCGTCAAACATTCCGAAATTGAGATAAATACATGGGGAGATAGCCCGTCATCTGCTCTTTCATACACGATAATTTTTTTTTCTCGTTACTTCATTTTTCCCAAAAAATTTTCAAGATTTTCGTCAACCCCTATTCGAAAAACCAGCTGTTTTTTAAATAATCAAAAAATGTTTTTCGTTTTTTCTGAGTTTCCGCTTTCTCAAAAGCGCATCCCAAATTTCTCCTTCATGGTTCATTCAATGCATTAATATTTTTTGTTTTGTCTGAAAGACTGTCTCAAGGCGCAGGGCATGATGAGGCCCTTTTTTTTAATTAAGCCTTTGTTTAGTCAATATACAGCCAGTTATATGATTTGGTTACCATTTTTTGACACTTTTTTCAGTCATTGAAGTTGTGATCCCTTTTTTGCGCTTAAAATAGGACTATTTCAAAAGAAAAAGAGCCCCATCATGCCCTGCAGCTTGACATGCTCTTTCTAACAAAAAAAAAATATTAATATATTGAACGAACCAGAACCGAAAAATTTGGGATGTCAAATGAGTCATTTTTGACCATTGTTTGGTTCATATCTCCCTGAAACCTGAAGATTTCAGGCTGAAAATTTTACGTTAGTCTCCTGTTTCCAGGCCCAACATATTCTGAAAGTTTCATCTACTTTGGATGTTCCTGGGCTGAGATCAATTTTTGAGGAGGGGGGGGGGCGTAATATCAGAAGTTCATGTATAAAATAAAAGGAAGTCAGATTAACGATAGATATTGCCGTTATGATATCTTTTATTTATTTTAACATGAATATATCCCAAAAAATCAAAAATAAAGAAAAAGAAACATTGAACGTATTCGTCATCGATACTTGACAGATCATCTTATTAAATCAAAACTGTACTACATTCAATTCACTTTTGTTTTACATAGCGCAGAAAAACCGAAAAAATAATATTTTTGTTTTTCATTGCACCTTCATTAACGCTAATCAAAGTCTTTCTATCAATTTTCAGAGTCGACCATTGCCTTACTTTCTTGATCAATTAATATATGAAAAATCACACAGAAGAAAAAATAAAGATAGTTGATCATATTTTAAGAATAAATAAATTATATTCACAAAAAACAAGTAATATTCTAATTCTAAGATTAATTTACATGAAAAGACAATCACAGGTATTTATATGTCCATAAATAATAATTCGGATTCGAACATATCTATTGAATCAATTATTCAACAGTAACAAATAAGAAAGAAAGAACATAAAATAAGTTTAATTCGAGTTAAATACAAATGCAACAATTAATATGAAAATAAATAGCGAAAGGAACTCACTGGCTGGCAACATAAGCGAGCACAAGAAAAGAATAAGGAGGGAGAGGGGGGCATTGTTGTTACTTAGAACGGCGACTACAAACTATTTCTGATCATCAGACACCGATATCGTTGATTCAACCAGATTTTCTTCTTCATTATCAACACCCATTGCCTTAAAAATAAACAATAAATGATACTAATATAATCAAAATATGAGTATGGATTATACTTGAAAACTAGTATTATTATCCAGATCAATAAATTCATTTGTACTTGATATAGATAATGATGCTGTTGCATTTGATAACCATTTATCAACTTTTTCAGTACAACTATAACTATGAGATTGAGTCAATAATGGTGAATTATTATTTATAGTTGTTGGATGTGGATGTGTTTCATTTCTAACTGAACGATAACCTTCATCAGATATTTGACGTTCAATTTGAGCAATTTGCATTGTTAATGGCGAGATTTGTGATGGTAATTCTTCCACAGTTGTTAATGGAACAATTGATGAAGATTGATTTTCAACTTTCGAATGACTATGATGAGATGATGAAGGAGATGATGATGAAACAATTGTTTTTTTATCATCTGATGATGTTGATGAACGTGCTTGAGGTATATTCATTGATAGTGGAATAATAGAAGTTAAATCTTTAGAAAGATTTGTTGTTTCAACTAATGATGATGTTTCAGAAAATGTATCCAAAGCTGAATCTTGAATATCATCATCTTCAGGAGTTTCACTATGTTCTTCATCAATTCGTACTGATAAATAATCTTGATAATGTTTTGATAATTCATTTAAATATGATTCAACACTTTGTTCCATTAATTGAAGAGCTTTTATTGTTGGTGAAAGTTCATATTCATACATGGGCATCGATGGAAGAGTATCACAATCGCCCGTAGATGTGCGAATATCATTGTATAAAATTATCATTTGTGATGAATGTGTCATAACAAAATTCTAATCAGAAAACAAAATAACTAAATTTTTCTTGAAGAAAAACAGTTTCGTCTGTGGAACATCTGAATATGTTCTCATGAATTTTTTTTTGTATGTCAACTTCTTCTATCCTAACCTAAGCAACTATAATCATTGATAAATCATTGACTTTGAGTGTTTGTAAGGCATTATCCTTGGAGTGAATCGAACTTGAATTCAACACTATATCGAAATACAGTAATAATTATGAAAAAAGTAGCAAGTCAGTTTTTTTTTCCTTCGTCATGATTAAATTAATCGTTCTTCTGCGTTCATCATGATGTCTAGCTCTTTGTAGATGCTATCAGAAACATTCGTCTAATTATTTCTATGATTAGGCTTGTGTTGTTATTTTCGCTTTATGCATGTGACTTTTTCTTCTATTCATGAATTCTTTTTTCTTTATGGATTTTCATAAAACAGAAACATTTTTCTCTTTGTTCGACATCTCAAAAACAATCATTCATTTTTTGCCACAAGAGAAACATCTACAGATGAGATAAATATTTAATATGAAAAAAGTCAAAAAATATTAGAAAATAAAATTCAACGAAATCTTTTTCAAATTTACTATAGAATTGAAAACTGAGGACAAGCTTACAGAGTTTCTTTTTAGATCTTCAATAAAGGTTTACAGTGTTCTAAAATTGTTTATATAATATTTTAAATGAATCTTCTGTAGAAGGTTATTCTTGTATAGAGAGAAAAAAATTTATCTTCTTTATGTTTTTCTTTGAAAATTCAAAACGAATATAGCAATGAGATTTCAAATAAAAATCTATAAGATGGATATGCATGCAAAGAAAAACAATGAATAAAATTACTTTTTTATTCTTCTTATTTTTCCTTCTATGAGTTGATTTTTGTTGTTTATTTTTGGTAACACCAGCATATTTATTAACAATATCTGATGGTAATTCTTTTTTATATTCAATCGAACTTTCTTGATAATATGGTGAATGTATTATTTCGTTTGTTATTGTTGATTTAACATCTAATGGAATAAAATTTTTTGGTAACTTCATAGCAATAGCAACAGTTGGTTCATTTGTTTTTATTGTTTTTATAGATGAATTATTCTCATCATCATGTTCATCCATATAAGATGAAAGAATTGTTTGTTCTTCAAAAGGTGTTAATGGTTGATAAAGTGGTGACATTAATTCGGAAGATGGTATTGGAAATAATGTTTCATTATTTGTTAAATTATGTTCAGATATTTTTTCATGAAAATATTTTAATAATAAACGAATTTTTTCTAATTGTTCACTATACTGTTGTTTTTCATATTCCAAACTAAATAAATAAATAAATAAATAATATTATTTGAATATGAAATAAATAATAGAAGAACTAACGTATCTCGTTCAAGTGGTGCAAACAACTGAGCAGGTGTATCGATTGATTTTCCTGGTGGGGTAGGTGAATGATGACGCTGTTTTTTCTTACCGATTAATGTCAAAATATGTTCACGTTCCAAACGTAAATTTGCAATATCTAGAAAGATTTTACAAATAAAAAAGAAAATATTTGATTTCATTTTTTTTACCTGCTTCAAGTAGAGGTAATTTTGTTGCACTATCGGCTAATAATTGTTTTATTTCAGCTTGTTTACGTGACTTTGAATTTAAATTTTCTAGAAGTTTCTAAAACAAATTAATCATTTAATTATTTAATAAATAATTATCTTTTTTTTTTTTTATTTCATTTACTTCTCGCTTATTTCGTGCTGCTATTTGTGCATTTTCAGCTTGATCAAGTTGTTGAACATATTTATCTTGTTCTCTATATAGAATTTGTCAGTTTTTGTTCTTTATCAAAAAATCACTTCTTTGTTAAACATACTCTAATTGAGGTAAAGCTTTAACAATTGATTCTATTTTTTGCTGTGCTAATTTTCGATAATCATCTGATTTATTTGTTTTTTCTAATTCTTTTTCATAACGTCTGAATACATTTTAAAAGACAATGAATTGTAATATGAAGATATTCAATCTTACACTTTATCATGAAGTGCTATTTCTAAATTTGTAAAGCGAAGTCTTGAATTAGATCGAAGAATTTGCATTTTAGCATTCTAAAATATTAATCAAACTAAAATATTAAGATATCATTTTTAAGAAAAAAAAAATACCAAAGTCTTTTTAATATTTGTTTGAGCAATAATTTCTTTGGTAATATCAGCGACAGCAGAACTCAAATGACCTATTTCATTTCGTAAAAAATCTGCATCTTGAGTTAATTTGTCAACATTATATTTTGTCTAATAAAAGAAAAATATTCTTTTTTTGATTTAAATTGTATTTTTATTTAGTTAAAATACTTTTTCACATGTTAATTCTTGAAGCTTTAATTTAATTGCAGATAAACGATGATTATTATTTCCATGAAGTAAATCTGTATTCAAACTAAAAAAATGGTCAAACCGTATAAAGCTAAAACTAGACATCATCACGCTATTTTTTTTACTTTGTTGGTCGTTCATCTTCGTCACTCATAGTTGTCAAATGAAATTGAAAAAAAAATTCAAATTGCTGTTATTTTGTACACTGGAATTTAATTGACATTTAATTGTATTTTTTTTCGATAGATTTACCACACGAAAAAGAATCTATTGATATTGGTTGTTCTTGTTGTTCCTTGGTTTTTTGTCATGGTAAAATTGAAAGGATTTGTTTCAGTTTGACATAATTACCATGCAAATAATAAATGAGAAAGATAAGGAGGGAAATAGCCTCTCCGAATCAATCTAGACACAACAAACAAGTCATAACGATTATTACGCTTTTAGAAAAAAATGTATTCAAAGATAAATACAGATACGTATAAACATACAGACGGTAGGTAAGAGACTTGGCACGCCACTTGACAAAAACAAGGGAAAAAACGATCCAAGCAAAAAAAAACAGAGAGGAAAATGAAAATACACTTGATAATTTAGGTGAAATAGTGTACCATTCTATTAGACCAATACAGTTATGAGAATTAACCTCTCCATATAATTATTAGAATTTTATTGTAGGAAAAATTTCATTTTTAAAATTAAGAGCTTTCACAAAAGAAACTTGAAATCAGAATTAATTAGTCTTCAATATGACTTCTACTGCCCTCTATAAAACAATGTAAATTTTCGAAAATTTTCGACTAATTATCTTCTACAGTATTTTTATTTACAAGCCGGAACCTTTTGAGACAGCTCGTTTTAAAAAAACGCCAAATTACCTGGCAACCGATAAACACTATATCTGAAATGGTTGTCTAATCAAGCAAACAAATCTATGGAGTTTAGGTTACAAATATTATAAGCCCCCGGCAACGTACACCTAATCCCGTTTTAATAAAAAGAACACAAAAGGAAATCGATCAAATTACTTCACAGATGTGTGTAAGAATTCTTCTTGTTGTTGTCTTTTACTTTTCTATTATATTTAAATAGAAATATCAAATATTGAGTTGACCTTCATAAATCGAGTTAGTAGATGAAATGAAAGGTTACTTGTACAGTGAAGATGGCTCATATGCTTTTCCTCTCGGTCCCAAAGTAACGACAATTGGACGAGAAAATTGCGACATCAGCATTACTGTATGATTTATTTTTTAATCTTGAATATATTTTATAAATTGATATTTTTTCTTTTTGTTTTTGACAGAGTCCTCATGTTGATAACCAACATGCATTGATAGAATATGATGATGAACAACGTTGCTTTATCTTAAAAGATCTTAACTCATCAACAGGTACTTATGTACATGAATGTCGTGTTCAAAATGCAGCTGTTAGATTGGCTGATGGAGATTTTATACGATTTGGCTTTAATGGTTTACCACTTGAATTTCGTATTGAACAACATCAACATCAACACCAACACCAACATGAAGTATTCTTTTCTATCATAATTTATTTCTATAGAAAAAAAACAAATCAAAGATATCATATCTTTTATAGACAACAATGCCATCAATTTATCCTCGACAACCAACTTCCAATTCACTTCATCTCATAACACAAACAATTCCATCACGAAGGTCACCAAGTAGTACAACGAATCATCAACAACAAATTGATGTGCAACAAAATACTGGATTTTCTCTTAGGTATTAATTATTTCATTTCTATTTAAAGAATAATAAACTTGATTTCTATAGAACTCGTGCGTTGAGTGCTGGAACAAAAAAAATCTCAGGTATAACACCAAGTAATCAGACTAATAATGGTATTCGTGATTCAATTGTTCGTCGTAAGTATTTATTCTACAGGATGTTCCGAAAGCTCGATCGAAAAAGAAACGTGAATCTCTTTAACCATTTAAACGATTTATATCAGGTTTTTATAGTTTTCATTTCATATTCATTGAAGATTTATTTCACAAAAATTTGTCTCTAATCGATGTACAAAATGATCACTTATAAATGCAATACGCAAACCTATCCTTTTCGAAAATATCTGTAAAATATCATATAATATGTACTGTGAAATGTTTTTTTGATCTTCTTGCGCATTATCATTTTCAGTTTAATAAAATCTTTAACAGACATTATGAATGCATGAAACTATTAAAACTATTATACAATCTTGAAAGAGCAACTTTTCTTATGTGATATTATAAAATTGAGTATTTGAACAATTTTTTTAAAGGTAACATTATCAATGGAGAAGAATATTATTACTATGTTTTAAAGGAACGCTGTCTACTCCTTTTTCCGAGGTTTATGACGAATGGTTCGATGAAAAATGATGAAACTTTCAAGATAGATAGATCTTGATAAGTCAAGCAAAATTTGCCAATGGGTTTATAATTTCCAATGCTTACTTGACAGAGATATGGAGATTGCAAAGCCAAAAATGACCAAAATTCTATACTTCATTTTTTTCGAGCAGCAGTTTTTTTAATGATAACTAGGACCTAATTGGAGTGCTTTTATTTTGGTTTTATTTTAAAAATATTGTTCCTAAAGCTCAGGAGAAGTAAAATACTGGAAGCACCATCAAAAGACGTATTTTTTTTCGATGATAATAACTTTTTAAAGGCTGCCGAACTTCGTAGAAACAATATTTTAATGAACAAATGACGTACCACTATTTGATCTAAGTACTCATAAAAATAATGTAGGTCCGATCGAACTTATCGTACGGGAGAAAAGGAAAGAAAACTTCGCTTTTTTTTTTGTTCAAAGACTGTATCAGGACATTTTGTCTAACTAAAAAGATCAAAAACTGATCATGTTCAGTGGTGTTAGAGATTCATAGCTCATGCTCTCAGCACCTTTAGAATGAGAATTAATAGTTATCTTTAAGAGAACGTTGCATACAAAGAAAAATCGTAGCGCGAGTTTTTTTGCCAGAGACTTCGAGAGTTAGGTTTAATAAAAATATCAGCCAATAACGAAGAGCTCTTCTTTATGTGACATTTGACAGAGAATGCATTGAAGTTGTGTTAGTGATGAAAAACCAAAAGTCAAAGAAATTTTCATTTTAACAACCGGCAAGGAAAGAGTCTCCGCGCACCTGTTTATTAGTTCAGAAGTAAGAAGTTTATGCTAGATAGACTTTATTATTTCTCAAAGATTGAGTATGTCTGCATTTTAGCCGTGAAGTTTGTCAATTATTGGAAAACATTTCTCCAAGCAGGTGCAATAGAAGAGACAATACATTTCTATGGATATCACGGTCAGCTGAACTGACATGATTCAAAGTTCTTTCATTGAAATATGTAGAAAATAATTCCTATAAGACATCTGTCAAAGACTTTATTCAGTTAAAAGTGAAAATCTATAATAAAATCATTAAGATAGATTCATGTATTAAATCTATCAGTGATCATTTTGTACACTGATAAGGCAAAGATTTCTGTGAAATACAACTTTAATACACATGGAAATAAAAGTATAAAAACCTCACGTAAACAGTTTGAACTGTTAAAGAAATATTCACGTTTTTTTTTCAACTGTACTTTTGAAACATTCTGCATATTTCTTATTATATCAAAATATTTGATTGATATAGCTAATGCTTGGACAATAACTAGTACTTCAAATCCTGTTCGATCTCTAATCAATGGAAGTTTTAGTGGTGAATTAGATATATCGGGTCAAGATAATACTGAAATAACAAATCGTGTTGGTCAACTTGAAAAAGAAGTTAAAGGACGTGAAGCAGAAATTCGTGAATTAACTGATAGAGTAAAAGATTTGTGTTGTTGTTTTTTTTGTCTGAATGTTTTCTTAATTAATTAATTTTGTTTAAATAGCTTCGTAATTTAGAACCGTTGAGTTCAACATTTAAAACTGACGTTAATACATTAAAAGCTGAATTAGATAAAGTGAAACGGGAAAAGCAAGCTGCTTCGGGACTTATTTCAAGTCTTCAACGTGATCTTCATTCAAAAGTATAATAACAAAACTCTATTCAAAAGTTTTTCTTAATGTCTTACTCGTATTTAGGAATCAAGTTTAGCAAAGTTAAATCGTGAAATCGATGGATTAAAAACTGATAGTCGTGATAAAGATCTTAAATTACAATCACTACAATCCAAGGTAGGATATAAGGTGAAAACAAATAATATTCTTTTTTTTTTGCATGATTTCTTGTTTTTTCTCACTCCTCTATCTTTTTTTAAGAGGTGAGTGTTAATAAAATATTTGAAAATGTCACAAGTGTTTTTCTTAGATAAAATTGTAACTCACGAATTATTTTAATCAACATTCAATTGAAACTAATTTTTGATGTTTTCTTTTATAGCTCAACCTTCTTCGAGATCGTACTCGTGCAGAAGAAGATCGACATAACAAAGAAAAAGAAGCTGTAAGTCTTCGTAATATAAACTTCTTCTTCTTCTTCTTCTTCTTCTTCTAATTGTGTTTGCCTTTTTATGGCTTTTTTTCTGTGATGAATCAAATCTCTTTATATATATATAAGATCGATTATTTTTTAATTTAGAAAATTAACTTAGCTGAACAACAAATAAATGAATTAAATGAAAATATAAATCGACTTAAATCTCAATTACAAGATACAGAAAAAAAATTATTAAAAGTTAATCAAAATGAACATAAATTAAAACAAGAATGTGAACATAGAAGTGGACAAATTNGCTTCTTTTTCTTTGTTATGTCGATCTTCTTCTGCACGAGTACGATCTCGAAGAAGGTTGAGCTATAAAAGAAAACATCAAAAATTAGTTTCAATTGAATGTGAACATGCACGTAGACAACTTACAGAAGTTCAACGAAGTGAAGCAACTCTTAAATCTGATCTTGCTAGTGCACAACGAAAAGTAAAAAAGAACAAACAACAAAATATAGAGCTTTCCAAAAATCTGTATGAGTATAAACCGTAAATCACTTCTCAACAGTTCACGCCAGTTACATAAGCTTTTCATAGTTTCATTCGATATTTTTTTCAAACATTCTGTTTTATGTGTTTCCACAGAAAAAAACTCGGGTAATATCATTCCTGCTGGAAATAGAGTTTATTGATTTGGACTACCTCTTTGAATTTAAATGTTAGAGAAGGGTTTCCTAGAAGTAGACGCATGTCACTATCCACGTTCGAAGAAGCTCCGCTTTATTAAAGTATTTATTGAGTTCCGTCATAATGCTGTAAGCTTTGGAATAAATTTTTTCAATAGTCTGAACATATGATGTCAAGTACACTTTTACACACAACATAAACTTTATTGACTTTTCAATTCTATTATATCTATATAGTTTTCAGAACGTAATAAATCTGTCATGATATCAGTTTCACAAAAGTGTTAACAGATTTGTTTAATGCAATACTCATATGATGTTTCTCTATCAAAAGTAGAGATGTACAGGGTAAATTTATTTCGTATCCTATACTCTCACAGAGAGAAATTATCACTAAGCCTTATCCTATCTTACCCTGCTAAATATGCAGCCTATAGTATTCCTGAACATCTTTGTTATCAAATTCGAACAGATAATCTTCGTTTTACAATTACAATCAGAGATAATTCAAATTTCGCTATTAATAAGTCTATTTTTATTCTAATATTGATAGGTACAACTATTTTATCTGAAATATGTTATATTTATAAATATAGTATTAAATTTTTAAAAAATCATGCAAATCACTTGAGGTGTTGAGGGTATTGACAGATTTTATTTTCGTGCAGACTTTTGAAATACCGTTTATTTATTTGAAATTCAATATTGTATATTCGATATCTTGTTTTTAAGCATAATCAATTATGTGTAAATATTTGGCGTTGTTTCTCTAATGATGATGATGATGATGAATATGATGAAGATCAACATAATATAATTGAACAAATCCAACAACTTCAACAACAATTAAATCAATCTCGAAATGAATTCGAACATCACCGTGAAACATATTTATCATCAAATGAACAACTTAAAATTTCATTTGGAAAATTTGTTGATATACTTGTAAGTTTTTCTAATTATAAAAATCACCGCAAATAATCATTAATTAAATAATTAATAGGCAAATGCAATGCAAGAACAAACAACTGAACGTATTCTTTTACATGCTCAACAACAAATGATTGAAATTGAAGAAACTGATGAAGATAGTCTTGTTGGAATATTTAAAAAAGCAGCAATTAATGCTATTAATTGTCATGTTAAACTTATCTCGGAACTGAATAGTATAATTATTAAACAAAATGATCAAGAACAAGATTTATGTAAAATTTCGATATTTGTTTTTTTTTTTTTAATTAAAATTTGTTTTTATTCTTAATAGATACAAATGAAATTTTAGCATTGATTCGTCGTCAATATGAAGAACTTGAACGTGAAAAACAAAACTTATCACTTGAACAAATTACTCGGGAACAAACATTTCGTTCTGAATTAGAACAAATTGCAACAGAAAAAGAGTATAAAGAAAAAATTAATTAAAATTAATGAAATAAAAACCTCATGGTAACATTTTCTAATTTTAGGACAACTTGGCAACAACGTTTTAGTGAAGAATGTGATCGTCTTCGTGAACAAACAGCTCAATTACAAAGAGAATATGATGAACAATCATGTTCATTTTCTGATCGACTTGAAAAAGCAGAATCACAAAATAGTGAATATCTTGAGGTATTTATTAAAAAACGTTTTAAATATAAATTTAATGTCATTTTTATAGAGATGGAATATACTTCAAACTGAATCAGGTCAAAAAATTGATGAATTAACAACAAAATTACAGGAATATCAACAACAATTAACTGAAGAAGTAGATGAATAGTCTTTTCTTTTCGAATTTTTATGAAATACGATCTAAAAGAAGAGTGAAACTACATAAGTAAAAGATTGGATTCCTCCTTCGTCCCCGCTAACGTGACATGCAAGTTACGAGAGAATTTCTCCAACTGTTCCATTGCTCTTTTTGACCGAGACAATATTCATTTGATGTGTACTAATGATTAATAGAAAAGTCTTGTATGGTTTGGTTTTTCGGGCGTTCATTCTTCAGATATCGAAATTTTGCCAGATATTTTAACAAAAAAGCTGTGGTTTATCTCGAGAACGAGGGCCCAGAAAACTAAATCATTCTAGATTTCTCTATTACTCACTGGCACTCTTCCAGTAAATATCGTCTCAGTTGGAAAAAGAATTGACATATAGAGATGTTCCTTCATTAGCAATAAACCATCACAGATGTGACAGAAACGTTCAAAATGGCTCATCAGAGACCTTTACATGTGTAACTATCGGAGCTTAACAGATCATATATCAATAAGGCCTTGTTATAAAATATGAACTACTTTCTTATTGCGTTTTTGAAATATAAAGTAAATGAATGGGGAAGTCATTTCTTTGTGATTCACAAAAGCAGCTATATCGTGTCTCATATTTTAATCCCACAGAGATTGCATTAACAGATTTCTCATGGTTTAATATTATTTAGAATGAACGACAGAATCAATTAATAAATATAAATGAAAGACAAAAAGAAGAATTAATTCAATTAGAAAAAGAAAAAGATGCAACTATTGAAGATTTAAAGTAATTAGATTTAATTAAAAATTTTGTTTTATTCATTTCTATTTTATATATGAAATTTTTAGTCGTCAAATTGAAGTTTATAAAGATCAAGTACGACAATTTTCAATAACAATTATACAATTAGAAAAAAATTTTGGAGAAGAACAAGAAAAACGTATTAAACTACAAGCTGACTTTGATAATCTCAATAAAAATGACAAAGGTATTTCATAGAGGAATCGAATGGTATTTTTATTTTTTTGCAGGCTTGTTCAAAGTAGAAGAGAAAAATAATTCATTTAATTTATAAAAAACTAAACAAAATAAGTTTCCTTGAACAATATTAATGAAAATTTTTGTTTTGTTTTCTGTGAATTTAGCTTGATTATCTAATTTTGAACTTTTAAGAAAAAGTGAAAGATGAAAAAAAAATTAGTTTCTAGAGATATGATTCGTAATCAACAAAATCTTTGTGTGAAATTGAAACAGTTTGCTACTCTTTCATAATTCAAAGAATGCTTTTTTTTTCTTCTAATTCTATTTTATTTTCTACTCGATAGATTGATTTACTTTAATTAAATATGAATTATGTAATAGTACTGTTTCATATTAATTCAAAGAGAATTCAAAATACTCACATAAGAATTCTATGGTCTTCGAGTTGTCAGCTATAAACAGAAATAAATACAAACATTAACAAAAAAAACCTCTTTTGCTGGTAGCAAGTATATTGTCAGTTCTACAACATAATGGAAATATATACACTTAGAAGTGTCTTCTATCGATGTACGAAAATAATCCAATTTCTTTTGACAATGATTTGACTTAAAAAAGAACGGTGTTCGAGACGCATTATTTCAAAAAAGGAAATTTCTTGCCTTGCTTTTCAAAACATTTCATCTTTGCATTAAATCACATTGTAGTTATTTCATTTTAAGCCTATGATCAAGTTATAGTCATATGTTGGGAAGCATGAGACGTCGTTCGACTTAGTTTCAGATGTGATCGATATGAGAAATTCGTAAAAAATGCTGTATGTCTTTCTTTTGTTCGTCAGTCATTTGTACATCTGTCGACAAGTTTCGATTCTTTTTCATTTCCTCTACTCTCTCTCTGTATGAGGTAGATATGAAATGGTAATGAAAATAGAAGATGATTTTTCAATTGATAAGCTATTTTTCTCTGGCTACAGGCATTTTGCAAGTGTAGAGATAGAAAACTAATAGAGGATTCAATAGAAAGAGCAAAACAATCAGTATTCAGAATAAAATCGAAATTTATTTTTGTTTTGTGTTGTTCACAAAATTAAGCTTCTCAAAACAGAAAAAAAACGAACTTTTTGACCCCGTTTCTCCAGTATGGTAAGAAGTATTCAGCTGAAACTTATTTCACATAAACTATTTGATCTGAGTATTTGTTTATTTGTTTCAAAAAATATTATTCTGATGATTCTCGGCTGCTTTTATAAGTTTGATCTCAGTAAACAACAAGAGTTTTTTAGGATGTGCCCGGTATATTAGAGTTTTTATTTGCAGGAAAAATGTAAGGAAGCCAAAAAAACTCATCCATGCCAAACACTGCCGAACGCCTATGAAAAAACTTTCATCTCAATCGAATGTAGTGTCTCGAAGACGAGAGGAGAACAAAAAAATGTGGTCATTTTGACTCATTATGATTTCAATATCTCATAGACGACAGTATTCGAAATGACAACTTTTACTCTACTTGCCAAAATCTATCTATTTTTTTAGAAGTTTCTAAATTTTCTGATAAGCCGTTCGCTAGAAATTTCGGCAAAGGAAAGGAGATAACCTTGAAGAATCTGTCATTCTACTTTTTTTTTCCACTAGCAATAATGTTTTATTTTTCTAATTACAAAAATTCTATTGAGTCGATATGAAATGTTTTCAAACTATTGAATAAACAAAATAAATTTTATTTGTTTTCGTTTTATTTATCCAGACAGGTCATCAACATCACCACCACCACCACCGCCATCAATTATTGAAACAGTCATTCCTGTTTTTGCTACACCTATATCTGATCTCAGGTTGGCTTCTATTTATAATAGATTTTTTACTTTTTTTATTATTTAGCCAGGAGTTGTTTGCTTATAAATCTCGTGTACAAGAACAAGAACAAATAATTGTTTCATTACGACGTGATTTAGCTGGTATGACAGCTCGTTTATCTGATGTTCAAGGTGAATTAAGTGAAAAACAAAAACATGCTTTGGAAAAAAGTGAACTTACAATACGTGAACAAACTAAAGAATTAAATGATACCAGATTAAAATTATCTAAATTAAGTGATATTGTTGATAAACAATCAGCACAAATTGAAACATTACAATCAGATTTATCGTAAGATTTTATTTTATTAAGCAACGAAAACTTGTTTTTTTATTTTTTTATTTTTATATAATAGAAAATCTAAAACATTAGCAAATCAATATCAATTATTAGTTGATCAACGTCAAGCTGATATTGATCGTTTAACAAAATCTCTTGAAGAAAAAAATTTAGTTGTTGAACAAGTTGAAAAAATAAATCATGATGAAGTATATATTTCTATTTTTTGATGGGTTTCTTTCTTTTTTTTTTATGTATCGATTTTTTTTCAAATCTTAAGGGTCGTATAACACATGAATTAGTTTCTATCGGTGCTCAATGTAAAGGTGAACGACATGAACAAACAATTGGACGACAACGTGAAGCATTAAATGAATTACGTGCAAGAATTAAATCTTTAGAACAATTACGACCAGTAAATCCATCATATGAAAAAGTTTTGCAACAAGTTGTTTTACTTAAACGTGAATTAGCAGAATTACGAGCACGACAAGCTTTACCAAATGATATACCATATTTAACAACAACATCAGGACCAAGTTCTATTCATCAACAATCACAAAGACAATCAATAGCAACAACAGTACGACAATCATCATCAACTACAACTCATTCCGAACAAACACCTGAAATACAAAAGATTATCGAAGAAAGAGCAGCACATGCTGAAACAATGAATTCATTACAATCTAGCGATGAATTAGTAAGTGAGAAGATTCTTAAAGAAATATTTTCATTGAATTTATCAATACAACCTTTTCTCCTAATGTATAGAAGTTTTTCTTTCAAATTGATTTTCTTCAAAAAAAAGTTGGTTGTTTGAGTCATTTGTTTCTATCTAATGGTTCGTTCGAATCTTGTAAATTCGCTGAAGCGTTTGTAAAAATGTAAGAAAAACTTACAAATAGTATGTTACTAGACTTCTGAAGGAAAAGCTCGATCTTCACCAACAACATCAAATAAGACCAACTCCATCATTATGACAAAAACTACAGTTTAAGAGAGTTTAGAAGTCTAAAGTACATAAATGACTAGCTTAAATAAAACAAAAATGTGGAGGTTTTTGTAATTTTCTATGGATGGATCTAGTCGAGCTCCGTGACAGCAGCAAGATTCCGAAGTGATGACATCAACGAAGAGTTAAGTGATTCGTTATTCTACAAGATAAATCGAAGTTTTTAATTTATATATCTTTAGATATATATTGATAAATTCCTGAATAAACATCACTTTGTATCATCATATAGCTTTATTGGTCCATTGATTTTTTTCATATAAATTGTTGCTATTAAATGCAAATCTGTATAAGAAAAGTATAAATTTGTCCCGATGAAAAAACAGAAGTTTGTTGAAAAAATTACGATCGAATTATTCTCGACTAGACCTTCAAGTTAGACGATACAAGATTACCAAATTCAGATGGTCTGTTGAACTGTCGAAAAAGATCTGTTAGAATCGATCAGTTCACAGTAACAAGAATGTTTCCATAGTTTCTACTATATTCATAAGTAGGAAATCTCCATTAAGATTCATCTGATCATCGTTTAAATCATACACAACCTGTCCACTTGTTTCAGCGGAATCGATCTATAGAAATAAACAAAACGTATATGACTATTTTCTAGAACCATGTTGATAGCAAAGAAAAATATAGATTCTATGCATGTCGCTTCATATACAGTAGAAAAAAATTTTTGTTAAAGAGATATCACTTATAATCGATCTAAATTAATGTTCGTCATATGTTTTTATTATCTGATTTTTTCATTTAAGCAAATATAATTTTTATCAAAGTCGATCATATGTTCTAAGACTGCTTGAATTAGATTCTTTAATTAAACATGACAAGCAATATATGTTTTATCACTTGTTAAGAAAATTATTTACATTTAAAAGGTAGCCCATTTGTGAAGTTGTTTTCATCATGAAAATACCTTATAATTCATTTGTAATCAATAACAAGATATATATAATTCTATGAATGAATGTTCTAACGTTACTCTTTCACACTATAACCAAAGAATCTATTGGCTTTTCTATGAAAATTTCAATATCTTTAAAACGAGCTTGACGGTATCGCCATCGACTGGCCAAGTTGTTGTGTGCAAAAAAGCAGAAATCTTATTTTTCTCTAATTTTTTTATTTTAAACATGTATTTAGATAGGCGAGAAGATTGTAGAGCCTTACTGTTTTATTGTAAAATTTGATTTATGCTGGTTCGGAATTGTTATTTTCATTGCTAGAACTGAAGACAGCTATTGGGTGATAATATCGGATATGCATCTTATGCTCTCATAATACAAATTTTATATTATCAAAAGAATGATAAATAATGCTTTCTTATGATCATTTTTTAACAAATGATATCAATTTGTTTTTTTTTGTTTGAAGAAACTAAAGTTAACTATCTGAAGAACTAAGTGTTAACAAAAACTTGACCGTTTCTTTAAAAAATGATTTCATCACGAAGTTTTTTCCTGTCATATAAGCTATTGTTTCACATTTTTCTTTTCTCTATATGAGCCATTCCGCATAAGCCACGACCGACCCTGCTCAATCGAGGTCGTCAGATTTTGCTCAATTAAAGTTATGTTGTAGAGGAGAGAGTTCTAAGAATTTTGACGCAAGCCATTTAAAAAAATATTGTTCCGTTCTCGAGATATTTAAATTTTTCTCAGGACACTATCGCCAAAAAAGCACATTTTTCGTGATTTTTTTGTGACATCTATATATCAACAGGTATACCTCTATTTCACTTCAAATTTTTACTGTGAATAGATATTATGATTTTGTATTACCAAAAAAAAATGAGCTCAAATGGATGAACCGTTGATGAGTGGACCAATACCACAAAGTGCATGACAAAATCGTCATTTTTCATATGTTGTGTACTTGCATTTTTGGCTATAGTGAGATCTAATTGAATACTCATTCCTCTGAAAAATTCAGCTCTCTAAATAGTTCCTATCATTCAGGAGATCTTCACCAAAAACGTGTTTTTGATCAAATCACGATTTTGAGAGAGTCCAATCCAGAGCAAAATGGAATTTATAGAAGTCAGGTTCATGTGAACTTTAAGTACCCACTTAGTACTGCAAATTTATGAAAAAATTCGGGTGAGATCTCAAAGAATGGTCCCAGGGGACTTATTGAAAAATCCAAAAACTCAGCCATTTTCTATAGGAACTGTACCCAAGTTCACTTAGAAATTACTCAAAGAGATTCTTCATATCAGATAGATTCTACCTAGTGTAAATCAGTATATGATTCTGTATCACCTTACGTAAAAATATCCTTTCAAAATGATAAAAGTTTTTTTTTCGAAAAATTCCCGTACTCCCCTCCAGGCCTCTTCATATAAAACCCTTTGTCTGAGTTTCCCTAACCCCCTAAGGGAATTTTTCGAAAAATATTTTCTTCTCATTTTGAGAGGATATTTTTACGGAAGGCGATAGAGGATCATATACTGATTTACACTAGGTGGAATCTATCTGATATGAAGAATCTCTTTGAGTTATTTCTAAGCGAACTTGGGTACATTTCCTATAGAAAAGGGCTGATTTTTTGGATTTTTCAGTAAGTCCCCTGGGACCATTCTTTGAGATCCCACCCGAATTTTTTCATAAATTTGCAGTACTTAGTGGGTGCTTAAAATTCACACGAACCCAACTTCTATAAATTCCATTTTGCTGTGGATTGGACTCTCTCAAAATCGTGATTTGATCAAAAACACGCTTTTGGTGAAGACCTCCTGAATGATAGGAACTATTTGGAGAGCTGAATTTTTCAGAGGAATGAATATTCAATTAGATCTCACTATAGCCATAAGTTCAGCTCTCTAGTTTGATCTGTTCATGAAAAATACAAGTACACAACATATGAAAAAATGACGATTTTGTCATGCACTTTGTGGTATTGATCAACTCATCAACGGTTCATCCATTTGAGCTCATTTTTTTTGGTAATACAAAATCATAATATCTATTCACAGTAAAAATTTGAAGTGAAATAGAGGTATACCTGTTGATATATAGATGTCACAAAAAATCGCGAAAAATGCACTTTTTCGGCGATAGTGTCCTCAGAAAAATTTAAATATCTCGAGAACGGAAGGATGTTTTTGTAAACGGCTTGCGTCAAAATTCTTAGAACTCTCTCCTCTACAACATAACTTAAAGTTTGCAAAATCTGACGACCTCGATTGAGCAGCTTCTGTGGACGTCGGTCGTGGCTTATGCGGAATGGCTCAATATATAGCTTGTGTTCTTAGCTGTAATTTCCCTACAGAAAGCTTTTCTTTTGCAGTTTTAGTTNTTGTATTCCTTAGTATGTATAATTCGCAGAGTTATCATGAAGCTTTCGAAATATATCTAATTCAGCAGTGCACTTCTTCATCGATTAATATCACACAGAAATTCCAAAAGACCTCTGTCGACTGCAAGTGGAAAACATTTTGTTTAAAAAATTTCGAATTCTTACATTTTTTCAAAATTATTGATTTTGTAAGTCATATATCTCGAAGGCAGAGCAATGAAACAAAATATTTTTTTTACCAATCGATAGCTTGTGAAGTTCCCTACAAATAATGTCTTGGGAGTTTTTCAGTCTCATGCTTCCTTTATTTTCTGTGATCGTTCTACAAATGGGTCAGATATGACCCACTGGGGGGTAAAGGGTTAAAGTTTGCAAAATCTGACGACCTCGATTGAGCAGCTTCTGTGAAAGTCGGTCATGGCTTATGCGGAATGGCTCATATATAGCTTGTGTTCTAAGCTGTAATTTCCCTACAGAAAGCTTTTCTTTTGCAGTTTTAGTTGTGCTAACTTTTTTACTTCTTCACACAAGTCTCAAAGTCGATGTCTATTATTGGTAATTCCGTCACGATCTGTATTTTGATCATAGATTTGTAAAGAAAGCTTCGAGTCTAATAAAATTTTTTAAATGCATAAGGTTATTCGACTTGAAATGATTAACATATAGAAACATTTTCTTTATAAGATATTAAAAATTGTCTGTCTCAAGCTTTAAAATTTTCATTTTTAATATATTAATTTTTTTTCTAGCACAACACACTTACACGAAAATTAATGAATTTACTTGATATCGATGATGATAGTCTATTAAACGTAACTTCATTAGCTATTCTTCCATCAACTGATCGTTATGTTGCTTTACAACAACGACAACGTACAAATGAAATATTAATACAAAAAATTGAAGTAAATATTTTGTTTTTTATTTTATTGAATAAATAATTCAAAATAATTATTTCAGATGCTACGTGAACGTTTAACACGAAAAGAAGAATTATTACGTGATTATGAAAAAGATCTGGGTAAATTAAGACAAGCAGAAATTTTATTACGTGAAAAAGATATTTTATTACAAGATCTTGAAGTAATTCAATTTTAAATAAATTCAAAATAGAAGATCTATTCCATTTAGACAAATAAACGAACAAAAGATGATGAATCATTATTTCTTCGAAATACTCTTAAAGAAACTCAAGATACTTTAAATCAAGAAAAACGACTTAATTCATCAATTAAACTCGGTCGAGTATGTTTTTATTCTAAACTTTCTAATACTTGTTTTGTGAAAGTCACATATATTTTCGAACGTAATAGTGATTATTAAATTTTAAATCAAAGTTTTTCGGCTCTTTGCCTCCTTCCATATAACAATGCTGGTTAAACATCAGAGTTCAATGAGTACGTTTATCCCAGCAATGTGAGGACGGTCAATGATCATTGGATACATTTTCGTAGCAAACGAGTAGGTTTCAGACTCATTTTCCAGAGTTTCTTAGCAACGGGAAAAAGTGCTGAATGGCATTAATAACAAGACTTAGACTGTTCTAAAGCATTCCGAAGCATTCTTCGAAATTTGAATGACTGAAATATGCTTTCAAATGTTCTAATTAGTGTAGTTTTTTATTTGCGCGCAAATAAATATTTATATTGAAGATGTCAACAATGATCGCGGTACTGATGCACTGATTTGCCATAATCGTAATATAATCAGCATTAAAACCATGAATTGATCAAGTCATAACTTTTGGAAATAATCAATATCAGTGTTTTTGACCTTATCAAGATCTATACTAGTGTGTTGATACCTCCCGTAGAATATAATGGATATGTACAACAGGTTTATTTACCAAATAAGACAGATCGTTTCATTGATGATCGATTAGTCTTGGAAAACAACTACAGTCTACCAGAGATTTTTGATGTATTGTAGTTTGTATCAGTGTAATAAGACTAAAAACCACATGTGATTTCTACATTTTTAACTCCAAAGGAGCTTTGCTGACGAGTTTTTTTTTCTTCGTCTTAGAATGTCGATCAATCTCAATCAAATGAATTAATTCGTCGTAGTGGTGGATCAACAGCAACACTTCATCATCATTGTCCACCTGATGCAGCACCAAAAGTTCGAACAATAAAACGAGATATGAATCAAAAAATCACTCGAAAAGATTATGAAATCAAAACATTAAAACAAGTTCGTTTCAAATTTAAAAGTGTTCTTAACAAAAAAAAATCAATTTTTTCTTCTAGGAATTACATGAAGCATTGGATACAATTTCTGAACAATCACATAAAGTTAAATTACTTGAATTACAATCGAAGTAGAAATAAAAATCAAATTTTGATTTTTTTTTTCTTCTAATGTAAAAATTGTTTTTGTTTAGAACAACGATGAGTAATGCTGATACCAATATGTTAGCGCCACATAATTCGTGATATTCATTTAAAAACTTTTTGTTTTCGTTTTCGTTTTCTATTTATGTTTGTAAGTGTGTCTTATAGAAACAATAAATGAACAAAAAATAATAATACATAAATATTCATAAAAGAGAACAAAACGAAATGATTTGTTCAATTTTTATCTTAAACGTCCACTAAAACGGTGATGTTTAAATGGAAATTTTCTATCATGTTCTTTAATTGATTGCATTATTAAATTAACAGCATGATTAACATCAGCTCGAGGTCCAATTACTTTAACTGAGCATGTATCAATTGACGAACCAGCTACTGTATGAATACGAACTGTTCGACATTGTGAACGAATTTGAGCAATACGTACACCATGTGGACCAAGTAAAGCACCAAATTGACCATGATTTATCCAAAATTCTCGTATAATTGAATCATCACCAAGTTTAACTATTGAAAACTCATGATCTGTATCAGCTTCAACTGAACCATTCCAAGCATCAAATGCTGAATAACGACGGATACCATCATTTTCTTCTTCTTCTTCTTCTTCTTCAAATTTATCATTTTGTTCATGATGATGATTATGTTGCTCATTTGAACGTGTGATGGTCTCAGATGAAGCAAAACCACCATATTCATGAGCAAGTGAAGCATCGTAATTACTAGAAAAATATTAAAAGAAAATTATTAAGAATATAAAATATTGTTTTTAAATAACAATTTTACTCTCGTTCAGTCTTTATCATTTTCTATTGAAATAGAATTAGTAGATGATTCAGATTTAATTTAAAAAATATCGTTTTTTCATGTATTAATCAGATTATTAGTATGCACTATGTGTATTTATATTGCAAATTGCGCATGTAAACTAGAGTCTGCTGAGTTTTCTGAGAAATATGTAGGATACATTAGTTATCGAATGTAAAAAGACGGAAAATAGTGTCTCATATCTTCTGAGTAACAATCCAATTCCGATTAGAAATTTTCATTGACAGTATCACATTATAATTCGACCGGGTTTCTGTCGAAAAATTTCGTACTTGAGAGACTCTAAAGTAAAAAGTAAATGACTGTTAGACTCTACCATACAATCCAAAATTTTGGTTTCTTTTTATAGTTTCGTAAAAGACTTTCATTTCGTGTTTTGATTAATAAATTTGTTTTAAAAAGAAAATTTCCTATTAAACAATTAGTTCACGAACTTCAAACAGCTGCGTATATGTCATAAAGATCTTTCCTGCTTGATTTTTACTAGGAGATGCCGTCAAGTGTACAATCAATTTTCACTCGAGGCTATTGTCATTAAATAGACTCTACTAACGACGATGAAATATTTCCAGGTATTCATATTCTTATGAGCGGATATTTTGCCCAGAAGTTGGCCGTGGTGAACTATAAAAAGCCTGCAAAATGGTTATGCCCATCAGCGTTCCTTGCTGAGTTTTGCATTCCTCGAGTATGTTCTATGTATGTAAAAGTAATGGCAAATATATTAAAAGGTATTAGACTTTAAATATTTTTGACAGTGAGCTTCATGATAACTAGATTATACTAAACATTTCAATATTGCAACGTTAAGAAGTTCACAGATGATAAAACTTAAAAGTTCACCATGATTTTCTCACGTAATACAAGTATTTATTGCAGTGTTGAAAAATGAATACTCGGCTATATATGAAAACCATGAAGATGAATAGTTTATGTTCTAATAATTAATGACACGGAAGAAAAAATGATGAAAAGTCTAATATTATTTAATTAGTTATCATCAAGTTCACCCTCAGAAGGATTCACAGCCTCCTACCTTTTAATGCATTTGCTATTACTTTTACGTACATTGAAAATACTGAAACAATTGAAACATCGACAAGAAACACTGGTAGGTACTAATCATTTCGAAATTTTTCATAGCTCACCAAGACCTACCTATGAACAAAATATCAGCACAGAACGAAACGAAAATCTCGCAAAGTTACCTCGAAAGTAGTTAAAAAGTCTATCGTACTTTCGGTTTATTCATCTCGTCGACTGAGATATCAAATTTTTAATGGATTTTTCTCTGCAGGATCCGTTTTTCCGGAAAAACTAATATTTTCGAATTTTTCTCACATAAAAAGTTCAGCTAAACTGGTTTCCGTGAAAAACTTCAGAATCTTAGAACAAAATCTCGTCGAGATAAAAGATTTTCAAACGACAAATGTTTTCTACACTCAATGTGGATGTGTCTATGTCTTGAAAAAATTATACTTCTCAAAGACTTTGTTCTAAAATTCAGAACTTTTTTTTTAAAAATTAGTTTAGTTGAATTCTTCATGCGAGTGAAATTCGAAAATATTATTTTGCTAGAAAATTGGAGTTCTGTAAGAATAATTTATTAAAAACTTGATATCTCAACGTAAGAGATTCGCGAACTTAAACCAAGATAGGTTTTTCAACTATTGACTAGGATCTGTTTTATGAGAATAGTCTCGAGTAAAAAGCAGTTTTACACTTGAACAGATTCTCTGGTTGATCATCCGTTGTATAATCTGATTCGAAGAGTAAACTTATCGAACTTTTACTGTGATTAAACAATTTGTTTTTCATTTGATAGATATCATCATGGAGCTTTGATTTCTACAAAACAAGCGTCATAAATATTATTCATTATTTATAACTTTAGGTCAAATAGAAAAATTCAATTGTTAAAAAAACATTTGATTTTTTTTTTCATGTAATAGCAAAAAATAAAAACTGTGGCTTTTTATTCAAAGATTTTAACCATCAGAACTTCAATTACGGGAAAAAAACGAACATCATATTCAGAATCAACATAAAAACCTCCATTGAATTGTATACTCAATACTTAACACTAATCTTCGTCAAATTTCAGCAGTTACATCTCATAACTCGTACTTTTGAATACATTGATCTCTGCTCCCATTAAAGTCGAAATTTAGTGAAAAGTTTTTTCTGCTGATTCTAAATATAAAATTCATTTAATTTCAAACTGAAGTTCTGATGCTTAAACTGTTAGAATACAAACTCGTGCTCATAATATTTTGCAATTAGATGGAAAAAGTTGATTTTCTAAGCAATGAAACAATATTTTTCAAAAAGCATGTAGAGTTTTTTTCTAATCGTATGATGAGTACAATCAAAAAATATTTCGAATAAATATTAAGACTACTGAGACTTGACGTTTTTTGCGAATTACAATTTTTATAGTCTTTTCTGATTTTTTAAAAGTAATTTTCTCTACAAATACATCCTTTCAATATATCAAAAACAAAATTTTTATAGGTACCCGGACGAGCTCTATCCAATAGAGCCCACCGGATTGATTCCAAACCCGATCAGATCGGGATCTGAAATTTTTCTGTTAACTGTGTCTGAAACTTTTGGATTTAATGGATTCTACTTTACAAATTTCTCGAACGACTCGTCTGAGAAATGTCTAGGATGCACTAGTCACCGAATACACAAAAGGCGAAAAAAAATTACCTCGTATTTTTGGGATGGCTATTCTATTCTGATTAAAAAAATTCATTGCAAGTATCAAAGTACAGTTCGATCAGGTTCGAATACGGGTCCGAAAATATTGAGCGCGACATGCTCTACTATCCAAACATTACAGAAACGCCAAAAAAAAAATTTTTGTTCAAATTTTGAGTAGCCGACGCACCTTATTAAAATTTGATCTTCTCAAAAGTTTTTTTTTCCCATAGAATAAATAAATAAATAAATATTCTATTTACATTTCATTATAAAGTAAAACTTCATCATCATCATATGTATGTTGATTAATATTAATAAATATTTCTTCTAGACAAGAAAGTATTTTCTCAAGTGATAAACTTTGTATAAGAAGAACACGTTCAGTTGAATATGGTGCACATGTTGGATGAATAGTTAATGTATGTAAAGAATATTTTTCACGTAAAATTTTTGCTCGATCACCTAATTTTCCTAATATCAATGGTGCATAGGATTGATGAAGAAGAATACGTAATTCATATTGATTTAATGATAATGAATATACACTAAAAAGTATTTTTTCAATAACATCTAAATGATGAGGACCTAAATTAAAAAAAAGAAATTCAGACAAAAAAACTGTTTGCTTTTTTAAAATTTACCTATAATGGTTAAAATTCGTTCAGGTGTTGTTTCATTAATTTGATCTGTTGTCATTTTAACAAATTGTTGAATAAGAGGTAAATTTTCAATTTTATTAATTATATCTTTATGTACTAATATTCGACAAATAAAATCTTTTTTATTATTTTCTTGATTAATTTGATTTTGATAATTATTATCATCAATAGATGTTTTATATTCATCATTATCAGAAAATCTATTTAATTTTAATTTTCCTTCAATTTTAATTTTCGTTGTATCAAGTTGATATGTTAAACATTTTAATATACATATTTCTTGTTCAATAGCTAATAATTTATTTCCATCAAGATTATTTTCATTTTCATTATTTAATATATTTAACATTAATTGTTGAAATAATATTAATTGTTCAAATGATTGTTTTAAATCGTTTAAACATGATTTATATAAATCATCGATTTTTTCAAACATTTTTGATGACCATATGTTAAGTTCTGATTCTCGTAATGAATTATTATTATATTCATTTGTTTGAAGATCATTTAATGTATGAAAACATGTTTGTGCTTGTTCTAATAGTAGATTAAGACGAATTTCATTATCTGTTAATGATATTTTATCAGGGATTAATACACGAGTTTGAAAACGATTGGCTGTTGCCATCTATTTTATCTAGACAAATCAAAGATACGAAAACAACCTTTTCAAATATAAAAATATAAGGCTAGTTATGAATAGCAGAAAGAAAGAAATAAACAAAAGAAACGAAAAAGAAAAAACAAAACAAAAAAAAAAGAACGCGAATATATCATTTACAAGTTCATTTAAAATAAAGAGAAATTTCATTAATTTGACTTAATGAAAAATCGAAAACTGTTTGAAAAATTTTATATTCTAGAATAAATTTTAAACATCTAATA